AGACTGAATTGAAAAGGTAAATCTGCTAAAAACAAAAACAAACAAATAAACAAAGAACATAATGTGACCAAGTCACATAATAGGACCCAAGTTAAATATAACTTTGGATTAAAATTTTAAAAATAGTTTATATGCTTTTCTCTGCAACATTTAGTGTTGATTCTGCACTCTTTTAGGAATCTGCCTCCTAGGTTCAAGTGATTCTCCTGCCTCAGCCTCCCAAGTAGCTGGGACTACAGGCATGGGCCACCACACCTGGCTAATTTTTGTATTTTTAATAGAGGTGGGTTGTTACCATGTTGGCCAGGCTGGTCTCGAACTCCTGATCTCAGGTGATCTGCCCACCTTGCCCTCCCAAAGTGCTGGGAGATCCTGGGCATGAGCCACCATGCCCGGCACAAAGTTGTTTTTTTAATAACTTATTTTTTTCAGTGAAGTCAAAGGCTTCAACACACACTCCCTCTTTGTTCTTAAAGGCGGCGACAGACACCTCTCAACTTGCTCTCAAATCATTTTTCATGCATCAGTCTTATCACCTCAACAAGATTGCAAGTTGCAATGAACTTTATATTTTTGGTGATAATTATTTCTTACCGTGCATTGCATTGTGCTGTATACTTTATGTGCATTATGCGTTTTAACCTCACTGCAGTCCTGCAAGGCAGATGTTTTTATCTCTTGCTTATTGGTGAGAAAGCTGAAGTTCAGAGATGATAAGAAATTTGCCTAAGGTCACACAGCTAGAAAGTTGCAGAGCCAAGATTTGAACAGATGACACCCTGGCTCATAACCTCATGCGCTTCTTCTAGGCCACATGCTTTCCTTGCTCCTACACCTTGGTCAGGTGAATATTACTGACTCCTTAGTCATTGACGTTGGCTATGTGTATGTGGCCAAAGCCGAAGTGGAGGATATGACCAGAGAAAAATAAATTGAAGGAGAAAAAGAAATAAAAGGTAATATCGAAGGGATATTATTTATTTTAGGTGGAAAAAACTTAAGGTGTTTATATGCTAGAAGGAAAGAGCCAACAGAGCAGAAAAGGCACAAGTTATGACGCTAATAATAGCTGACATTTATTAGGCACATCCATGTGCCAGGAGCCACGCTGAGCACTTTACCAGGATTGCTTCACTAATCTTTCATAACACTCTTATAAAGTAGGTACTATTATTATCATAATATTTTACAGAGGAAAAAGTGACACTTTATCCAAGCTCACACAATGGGTGGTAATTTAAAAACAGGGCATCTGAACTGCTGTGCCTAGGAATGAAGAGGTAGACAGATGCCTATTCTGGTATGGAAGCTAAGCTTCTGTGTCACCAGCACCCAGTAAATATAATACCCAAGTGCTTTATTGACATTAGTTAATCATGTTTATAGTATCCTTTCGGGTAAGTCTGTATACATCCCCTTTTTACAAGTAAGAAAACCAAGATTTAGGGGCTAGTGACTTGCTCCAAGTCTTTTTCATGTTTAACATGAATTACAATATATGTGGGGGTCTGTATCCTGAAAACATAATCAACCTTTGTTTCCAACACTTCTTATCTAGTGAATTGGAATGAAAATTCCTAGCTCAGGAAAGTAATGCACTTGGAAGCAGTCACTTGGGATATCTGACTCTTCTAAAGGTATCTGATCATCTAAATGATACAGGCATGGTACTGTTTTACAACACATCTCTCTGAATAAGACAACTAAATCTTCGTATTTAAAAAAAAATGCGCAGAATATTTTGGTTTAATTATATACATTTTAAAAAATAACCACAGCATTATACAATTGAAAATAATGTTGAAAGAGTATAGGAAATGTAATATAAACTCTAGATGAATGAGAAGCTTGGAGAGAAAAAAAACAGATCACAAATAGAAAGACAACATTTAAAAAAAACTTTTTTTTTTTTTTTTTAAATTTATAGAGATGGAGTTTCACTCTGTTGCCTAGGCTAGTCTCAAATTCCTGGGCTTAAGTGACCCTCCTGCCTCAGCCTCCTAAAGTGCTGGGATTATAGGTGTGAGCCACCGTGCCTGGCCAGTCAGCCTGCTATTTATTTTATTTTATTTTATTTTATTTTGTTTATTTTTTGAGACAGAGTCTGGCTCTGTCCCCCAGGCTGGAGTGCAGTGGCGCAATCTCGGCTCACTGCAACCTCTGCCTCCCGTGTTGAGCCATTCCCCTGCTTCAGCCTCTTGAGTAGCTGAACTCAAGTAGCTGAACTTGAGGGACTGCAGGCGCCCGCCACCACACCTGGCTAATTTTTTTGTATTTTTAGTAGAGACGGGGTTTCACTGTGTTAGCCAGGATGGTCTCGATCTCCTGACCTCATGATCCGCCCACTTTGGCCTCCCAAAGTGCTAGGATTACAGGCGTGAGCCACCGCGCCCGGCCTAATTTTATATTTAATTGTTCAGCAATACATTGGTTCCCATTTTATAAAGCACTGTCCTGTATATACCTCATTTGCCTTCACAATAATTGGTATATTAGCTGTAATATCTTTAACCTACAAGTAACAGAAAACCTGGTTTAAACAGATGGAGGTTGTTTTCCTCATTCAAAAGAGGCCTGGAGGTGGCATTCTGGGACTGGTGCGGGAGGACCAACAGTGTCTTCAAGGATCCAGGCCTCTTAGACCTTCCACGTCACCACTCTTACCATGTTAGCCACTTACACTCATGAATGTCACCTGGCTGTGGGACAGCTGCTCCAGTTGTTACACTTGTGTTCACAACTGGAAGGAGGAGGAAGGGAAGGAGCAGAAACCAGGGCATCTTTGCTTTTATTAAAAGGCAAAAGGTTTCCCAACAGACTTTGTTTTCTAAATTTTTTTTTTTTTTTAGGGACAGGGCTTCACTCTGTCACCCAGGCAGGTGTGGAGTGGTGTGATCATAGCTCACTGCAGCCTCGAACTCCTGAGCTCAAGTGATCCTCCCACCTCAGCCTCCTGAGAAGCTGGGACTTTAGAAATATGCCACTATGCCCAGCTAAATTAAATTTTTTTTTTTTTTTTTTTATCGTAGAGATGGGTCTCGCTATATTGCCAAGGCTGGTCTCAAGCTACTGGACTCACACAATCTTCCTGCCTTGGCTTCCCAAAGTGCTGGGATTACAGGTGTGAGCCACCACACCTGGCCCTCTCAACAGACTTTTCATTGGCCAGAACTGTGTCACCTGGCCATCCTTACAGCAAAGGAGAATGATAAAGCAATTATTTAGCGTTTACAGCCCGTCTGTAGTGGAGGTAGGCAAGAGAGAAGCTCACCAGTTTACAGATGAGAAAGCTAATGTGCTTTCTCATTACTCAGCACAAACCCAAGTCCCATGGCTCCGGCACCTATGTTATTTCACTATACTACTCAGCCTCTCTAAATTCTGCCACAGGAAAGTATAAGTCAAAAAGAGGACAACTCTCAAAAATATGTAGTAATGGGGGCTGGGTGCGGTGGTTCATGCGCCTGTAGTTCCAGCTACATGGGAGGCTGAGGCAGGAGGATCATTTGAGCCCAGGTGTTCAAGTTCGATGCTGTAGTGAGCTATGATCCAGCCACTGCACTCTAACTTGGGTTACAGAGTAAGACCCTGTCTCTGAAAAAAAAAAAAAAAAAAGTATAGCAATGGGATATATTCTATTAAGAAATGGATTACTTTTTAAATTAATAATTTTAATATATGATATCTCTATTGTTTAACAAAAATCATGATTCCATTTTTATAGATTAAATAGCAACTAAGCTTTAAAGAGACTGATTGAAGCATTATTATTGCAAAACACTGCAGAGAAACCCACAGGTGTTTGTTCGTTTGTTTGCTTGAGACGGAGTCTCACTCTGTCGCCTGGGCTGGAGTGCAGTGGTGGGATCACGGCTCCTTGCAGCCTCGACATCCTGAGCTCAAGTGATCCTCCCACTTTAGCCTCCCAAGTAGTTGGGACTACAGGTATGTGCCACCATGCCCGGCTGATTTTGTTTTTCAAATTTTTAGTAGGGACAAGGTCTCTCTATGTTGCCCAGGCTGGTCTTGAACTCCTCAGCTGAAGCAATCCTTCCACCTTTGCTTCCCATAGTGCTGGGATTACAGATGTGACCCACTGCACCCAGCAACCCCCAGTTTTCAACAACAGGGCATTGGTTGAAGAAACTGCAGCATATCTAGACCCTATGAAATAAATAGTCAGATGTAAAATTTCAGAATAATATTGTTATTTACAATATTTTGTTAAATGAAATAAGTAAATTATAAAACTAGATATACAATGTCACCCTATACTTTTAAATATATATTATCTATATAAAAGCTAGATTTAAATATAGCAAAATGTTCATAGTGATTATATTTAGGTGATGAGAATATATGATATTTTGGCTTCCATCTTTATATTTTTTGTAATATAATTTTTAGGAGTCAGGTTTATTGAAGGATTATTTACATCTAAAATTCACCCATTTTAGGTGTATGTGTTTTGACCAATATCTACAATAATGTATCCACTACCATAATCAAAATACAGAATATTCCTTTGCCCCTAAAAGTTCCTTAGTGCCTTTTTGTAGCCAATTCCCTCCCCCTAGTTACCGGCCCTTGGCAACCACTGATCTTATTTTAGTCTTGACAGTTTTGCCTTTTCTTTAATGTCATATAAATAAAAACATATATAGACTGTAGCCTTTTGTTGCTGGCTTATGTCAACTGGAATGAGTGCTTTTGAGAGGCAGCCATGTTGTTGCACTTACAAGTAGTTTGTTTCTTTGTATTAATAAGCCATACTTCACAGCATAGAGGTACCATAATGTGTTTTCATCGGTTAGTGGACATTGGGCTGTCTTCAATTTTGGACTAATTATATCAACTTGCTAGTGCTGCCCTAACTAAGTACCACTCACTGGGTAGCTTAAACAACAGAAATATACTGTTTGACAGTTCTAAAGGCTACAAATCCAAAATCGAGGTTCCAGCAAGGTTTGTTCCTGTTTTTTTTTTTTTTTTTTTTTTTGGTAGAATCTTTTTTATTCAGAAAAAAAAATTCCCCCAAAAAAGTTTTCCAACCACACACAGGAGGGGTATGGGTAGGGGGACGTGTCTGGGCATCAGCCCTGTCCCCCAGCCCACGTGGTTTTGGCAGCAATAAGGGGTGTGGGATAATGGTCCCCCAAATAAAATGGTGTATGGGTAGGGAAGGGGGATGCAAAGCTGTAGGGGGCGGTGAAGGGCAAGAGAGGGACGAAGGCAGTACTGGGAACGCCAAAAGTGGGAGGTCATTTCATAACATTTCTTGTTGATCAAACCACCGTGGACACTTTCTTTGCCCATCAGCAGGACTAGCGTCAGTCTTGGTGACAGTGACATTGAAAGTGGGGGCTCCACCGGTACTCTTGGTATACTAAGATCCATGCAAAATTCCCCATCCTGCAGCAGTGAGTCCCGGATCACTGAACATTTCTGGCCCCCAAGCGTCAGCCTATTCACAAAAACACTTGACCAGTCTTTGCCAGCTGGGACACTAGCCTCAGCTGGCGTGATGCTGGCGAAGGTTTTCGAGGAGAGGGCGGCCCAGATGGAGGACGAGTCCTTGTAGCCCACGATGGCCGCGTCCTGACAGACGGAAGGGACTTCTGCCATAAGGTTGTTGATGTAGGCGTCCACCTGGCCATAGTCATGAGGTTGTCAGTGTAGGCGTCCACCCGTCCATGGCGCTGCTGCTGGGGCTGCGGGCTGGGCTTGGGCTGCCTCCGCTGGCGGGCGGCGGGAGGTGGAGGTGGAGAGCTCGGGGCACGCGCTGCAGTCCAGACCCTGGCTCCGCTCGCTGTGCGCAGCCTTCGTACGACCACCAGTTTGTTCCTTCTGTAGGTCATGAGGGAAGAAGGATCTCTTCCCGTTCTCTCTCTCTGGCTATCTGTATGTTTACATGGCATGCTCCCTGTATCTGTGCCTGTGTTCACATTTCTCCTTTTAAAAAGACTCCAGTCATGCTGGATTAAAAGCCCACTCTACTCCAGTATGATTTCATGTTAATTAATTATATCTGTAACCACCCTAGTTCCAAATAAGGTCACATTCTGAGGTACTGGGGTTAGGACTTCATCATATTAATTGGGGAACAGGGGGTAATTCAACCCGTAACAAACAGTAAAGCTGCTATAAGCATTTGTGTGTAAGTCTTTGTGTGGTCACATATTTTCATTTCTCTTGGGTAAATACGTAGGAATAGAATTGCTGGATCATAGGTTAATTGTATGTTTAACTTTATAAGAAACTGCCAAACTGTTTTCCAGGATGGCTGTACTATTTCATATTCCTACCGGGGGTGTATAAGAGTTCCTGTGGCTCCACATCCTTGTCAACATTTGGTATTGTCAGGTTTTAAAAAATTGTAGTCATTCTGACAAGTGTGTGGTAGTATCTCCTCGTGGCTTTAATTTCACATCCCTAAAGACTAATGATGTTATTTATCATCCGTATATTTTCACTGACAAAGTGAAACTTTGAACAAAGTGAAATGGTACACATCTTTTGCCCATTTTCAAAATTAGATTACTTTTTTTTAGTGAGTCATGAGACTCACTACATATATATGTCTTATATATATTATATATTCTAGATACGAGTCCTTTGGCAAACATGTGATTTGTAAATATTTTCACTCAGTCTGTAGCTTGTCTTTTCATTTTCTGTTTTTCCCCTGAGAAAAATAGTCTTTTCATTTTCTTAAGAATGTCTTGAAAAGCAGAAAATTTTCATTTTGATAAAGTCCATTTTATCTTCTTTTAAAATGTTTGTTCATGCTTTTTATGCTTAGTGATAAAGTCCATTTTATCTTCTTTTAAAATTTTTGTTCATGCTTTTTGTGTCTTATCTAAGAAATTTGCCTAAGTCAACATCACAGAGATTTTTCTCCTGTCTTCTTCTAAAAATTTTATGATTTTATGTTTCACATTTAGACCTATGGTTCATTTAGTGTTAAGTTTTGTATGTGGTATGGAGTATTTTTTCTTAAAATTTCAACAATATAACATTTTTGGTTCTGGAAAGATGACATAATGTTATTTATCATCTGTATCTTTCCTTTCGTAAAGTATACACATCTTTTGTACTTGTAGCACCAGATATACTAGATAAAATAAAACAAAAACTACTTTTAATACAAAGCTTGGTTTATAAGAAAAACCAGGAAATTTCCTGTGCAAAAAATGAGAAGGGATCTGAAAGCAGTGTGCTGAGTATATGGATCAATACAGGTAGCTGCCTGTCTTTTTTCATGCGGGTAAGGATCAGGATATAAAGTTTCTACTGACCTAGGGACTTGGGGTAAACAACCATGTGAGCACAGGAGAGGAGTCTCGGGTTTACTTACAGTTGCCTATTGTGGCTGAGACTCTATATAAAGTAGGAACCCCTGAGGGGGTGTGCTTTCAGTGAGAGAAAGGCAAAAGGAAAACAATCATTTACCTACTTAAGAAAATGAAAAGTAAGCTTGAGTCACTTCTGAGAAGTCTCTTGAAAAACTGAAACTGCCTTGCACCTTGCACAGATTTGATGATTGAGTTGATAACGCCTGAGGGGTCCAGAAACCTCCATTGTTTAAAAGAAATAATCATTTAAAAATTGATACCTGGCCCAGGCATGGTGGCTCATGCCTGTAATCCCAGCTTGGGATCCCAGTTTGGGAGGCTAAGGCGAGTGGATCACCTGAGGTCAGGAGTTTGAGACCAGCCTGGCCAACATCTTTAGTAGAGCCCATCTCTACTAAAAATACAAAATTAGCTGGGTGTGGTGGCAGATGCCTGTAGTCCCAGCTAGTCAGGAGGCTGAGACAGGAGAATCACTTGAAACTGGGAGGCAGAAACTGCATTGAGCCAAGATTCGCACCACTGCATTCCAGCCTGGGCCAGACAGAGTGAGACTCTCTCTCTCAAACAAAAAAAAAAAAAAAAAAAAAATTGATACCTGATACCTGATAATTCCCTCTGAATGCTTGACACAATTCATGTAAAACAGGAGAGCAATTTCTACTGAGATTCCCACAGGAAAAAAATACCCCTATTAAAGATAAGTTACTGATAAAAATGTATAAAACAAGGCAGAACCCATTAGGCACACCATAGATGTCTTCTTAACTTGTGTGTTGCACGCAGCAAGGGCACATGGAGGATGATGAGAACAGAGCCCCTACAGTGTATATATGTTGTGGTGGCCCCAGAAACCGTTTACCATCAGCAAGAACCAGCAGGCATTGCAACAGGGGGATTAGAGCCCAAGAACTTCATAATATTGCCACAACAATAATATCAAAGAGAACTCAAAACAGACATTTAAAAATAATTGAAGACTTGATATAAATACTTAAAATCCTAAGAAAATAATATGACATTATAAAAATAAAAGAACAAGCAGATTTGAAGTTTTGGAAAAAGATAATGTATGTTGTCAAGATGGCACCACAGAGAACTAAAGAGAGAAAATATGACAGAAAAGAAGGTGCTTGGGGGATGATTGACATGCTCTTTTAAGATGTGGCTCTTTAGCAGTTTTTTTCGATAGAAAGAGGCTATTACAGGGCAAGAAGTTCTTTAGCTTTCTCCATTTTCTGAGCTGAAAAAGAAAATTGCACAGAGAAAAATCTTAAGGGATCTGGACTTTAGATATTATATATCACGATAAAACCCCAAGAAAGGGTCTTTTATTAGAGAATTAGAATTAATAGCAAGGTGACAAACTGCAGAATATAATTGTTATTAAGGCAGACACGGTTGGAACAGACAGAACTGTTTAGGCATCTGATAAACTCCAAGTGGAAGAAGTTTTTAAACATCTTTATGGAAAAATGGGAGAAATAAGAATTCAATGGTGATACTTAATGCTTCCGTTTCATGGAAAAAGAGAGCCTAGATTGTATCTGGGGTTTCTTTAAGTCTTTCTAAAATTATTTATTTATATTAAGCAAAATAGTTGTGGGGAAAGTTACATTCATATTTACACTTTTCATTGTTAGATCATACTTTGGATTATTTCAATCACATCTGGAGTATGTTTATAATTGGGGGCTGTTGCCAAATGCAGGGATCCAATATTTACTTGGTAATATCATCTACAATCACAAGCAGAACGCCAAGAAGGAAATCATCAGTCTCTTCAGAGCTGACATATACTTCCAATTAATACAGTACAGCAAGTATCTCATCAAAATTTCCTTTCAAATATAATATGAACTACTGGTGAATGGACAAAAGTAGGAAGCACTAAAGACTAGAGCGAGGACGAAGGCCTTCAGCAAGAGACAACGTGCTTACAAAAACAGGCCTGGACTGCTTTAGAAAGTCATCACCAATGGTCTTCAGCCTTCCTTATAATAAAATAAGGAAGGAAGAAATCACTTCAAATTTTAAAAGTAGATTAGTTAGAATTTTAGCTGCACACTTCTGGGAAAGTGATTTTCTCTCCTTCTAACGTCTCCCATTAAGTAGGGCATACTGTTCAGAATTCAAAACCTGCTGGCCAAGTTTCCAGGGTAAACAAGACTTTGTGGCTCTAGAATGAGCCCTGTTTTGAAAGCTGAATGATTTTTTGGGAGAAGAGAGAGGAAGAAGAGTTCTTAAATAAAAGGAATATGGACTTTAAAAATAAACAATGAAGTCTGAAATGCCTGAAGTTTGTTCCTGGCACCAGTATGTCTCCAGGCAACTTTAGGCACATACAATACTGAGCCAACTTGGCTGAGCCCAGAGCAGGCGGTGGACCTGAAAACAGCTCGGTGTAAAAGCCATCAAGAACTGGGATTTGGGCTATGTTTACAGAGATTGATCTTAGGAGACAACATACGCTTTTTGGAAAAGCAGCATAACATAACATTTTGGGGACAACAAACTTTTTAGGAACGCTAGGAAACGATGGACACTACTTGAAGGAAAGACATAGTATGGGGAAATGCTCCATTGAATAAATTAGATAGAAGAATGTAAGGTTAAGTATCAGAAATGAAAGAAAACTAAGTAAATAGTTGGCTTTTCATTGTTGTTGGCTGATCTTTGTCTGAAATAGAGGATTTTAAACTTTTGTTTTAAATCTACCTTGACAATGCTGAAGAAACTCCTTGACTCAAGGAAGGTAAGATGGGAAATAAAAGTTTCACCTTACAGGATAATAAACAGGTTTAGTTTAAGGATAGCCAGCAAGATTGAGAGTTAAAGGGAAAAAGTTACAAAACAATGATATTTTCCCAGTTTTCTTATAAAGGAAGCCATTGTTCACTGAGCTAGTAACATTTTTTTCGTTAAGAAAATTATGTTTTTATAAGGCTAACAGCCCTACTTTTTTGCTCTTCACTTTATGGAGATAAAATGTGCTTTGATTTGTAGTTGTTTTATGTCTTTTTTTTTTTTTTTTTTTTGGTTTGGAGACAAAGTTTCGTTCTTTTGCCCAGGCTGGAATGAAGTGGCGCGATCTCGGCTCACTGCAACCTCTGTCCCCGGGTTCAAGCGATTCTCCTGCCTTAGCCTCCTGAGTAGCTGGGATTACAGGTGTGAGCTACCATGCCTAGCCAGTAGGCATGGTGGCAGCGCCTATAGTCCCAGTACTTTGGGAGGCCGAGGTGGGCAGATCTCCTGAGGTCAGGAGTTCAAGACCAGCCTAGCCAACATGGTGAAACCCCGTCTCTACTAAAA